TATATATATATATATATATATATATATATATATATATATATATATATATATACGAATTAACAACAAAAATCATATATTTTGTTACCTTCTTTACTTATGAAATATTATTTAACCTTCTCCCAACTTTGACATAACCATTTCAATCGCTTGAGGTTAAAGAATAACTGCGCAGATGTAACGAATAGACATGTGATATTAATTGTCGACTTCTAAGATACAAAGGAGTAATTCTTCGAACTGTTCGTATATATGCTTGTGAATTTATAATGTTCCAGCATTTTTTATAACTTTTAATTTTATTCGCGCGCGGAATTTTATGGAACTTATTTAACTAATAATATATAAAATTTAGAGTAAAAACTCATGTAAGATAAACATGTACCTGTGCTAATTAATTTACTAAGAAAAACGGGTATTAATGTCACAAATATTACATTGAGACACGGCCACCAATTAAGGTCACCGTGTTTTGATTGCATCTGTCGAGTCTGAATTGTCGCGGTAAAAATGAGAATATCCGAGCAGAGATCTTTTTCAGGTTGGATACACGATGGATGATCTGTTCACGGTACATTTAAGTGATGCTTTACACAAGTCTACTTTATGAAGGCTCAGACCTTCGTTGCGTGCGCCGCATAAAGACATCCTTCCGGTATATATTCCACGCGTTGAATTCTCGATGTAACGACGAGATTTTATGGACGATTTTATTCGTTTCCTATGTATATATACAGAAATAAATGTATATATACATACGCATAAGATCAGCTATAACTATGCCTATTCGAATGGGTAAGCGATACGTGTATCTTGCTGTGCATAAAGAAATGTTTAGCGTTTTTATTATTTATAGGAACGCACATGTTCTTTAAAGTAATAATCAGTATTCTTCACAAAATACTATGCTTATAACTGGTGATTTGGTTATAAGCATGCACTAAATGTAAAATATTCTGTTGTTAAGAAAAATAATTCCTCTATTTACTTTGTTTTTTTAAGTAATGATTATTTTCAACAATGTTTTTTTTATCATAATTTGAAAATATGCTTATTACAAATTTTAGAAAAGCTTATATATTATCGTGCACTTAAAAGAATAATTTATTCTTTTTACAAAGGAATTTATATTTATAATTTGAAAGAAAATTTGTTCTATTTACAATTTATTCTCTTTATATTGCAAAATTTTATCCTTCAAAAAGTTGGTTCGTTTCTATGCAGAAAGTAAACAAGTTTTGGTTTAATTTAATATTCTTAAAAATGTTTAATATTTTTTAAAATGCTAGATTTACTAGGATTAAGAATATATTTTGAATAGATTTGATATTTATGATGAACTTATGACATATAAACTTATGAAATATTTGAAACAAGTTACATTTACTTGAATGCAGTATGTATTTTTTATGTATAGCGCTGCAATCAGTAAAATCTTGTTACAAGAATTAG